CCCCAAAACCCCAAAACCCCAAAACCCCAAAACCCCGAATGATAAAAATATGATAAAATATAATAAACAATATAATATTTTAAATGAATTAAATTATTCTTATTTTTATCGAATTCTATACTTTTTGGAGATTATCATATTATTCTGGATCGAGCTGAGGATTAGATTTCAATGTTATGATTTGCCTTGAATCTATTTTTTACGTCTTCAAAATCATAATCATATATTTAATAGTTTTCTTCAAATGAACCTCTGTTTTACTATTTAATCTCAGCCAACTTATCTTTCAAACTATTAGAAACCGTCTCTTCCCGAGTATTTCCGTCAAAATTATCAAAAAGTTAGCTTGGATTGCTGGAAATGTCTTGAACATTTGAGATGTCTTGATGACTTAGATCTTCTATATTGATTTGATTTATTGTTGTTTAATTATTGCCCAATGTTTCTGAAATGAGCTACTACCTTTTCCTTTTACTCTTGGGATTGCTCTTCTTTTTGTTCTTCAAGTTTGTATTGTTAGCTTTTTACTTTTGAGACTTGTGCTTTGCACCACTATCCAACTAATTTATATGATTTTCATCAGATAATACATCAAATGACAGGAGTTCTGGAGACTGTTTTATCACTGATTTTACCTTTTACTTCTATCGCCTTTTGTTTTTAGTTTTCTTATTTTCTAATTTTTCTACATCTTACTCATAATCCAAATAATGTTATTACTCAAATTACGTAGTAATATTGATGCAGGTTTCATCTTTTGTAAAATACTTTTATTTTTTGTTTTTACACTTAGATCTAATTTTTTTTGCTATCTTTAACAATCCTGAATACACTACATAAGAAATTACTATAAAGAAATCAAGAATAACAAGAGCATTAACAAGCCATCCTATATTATACCTGAGGTCATAATCTTCAAGATATTCAAAAACAGGAAGAATTATCAATATTGAAATTAGTATAACCTCATGAAAATTATAAGATCTTCTTATCCTCTTCAATTTATATGGCTTGATTTCAATATTTCTGGTTAATATTATAATGCTTGAAAGAATAAACACACTCCATTATGCAAAATTATTCTGAAGTAAAATTAGAGCAGCTGGTATTAAAAATCTTCTGCCATAGAAGAATACTTAAGTCTATAATATTTGAATGTTTGTCAAAGTATTTTCACTTTCTACTACTCTGTATTTCATAAACACCTCCTCAATGATCTAAAATTTTTGATATTTCAATTTTCCTTATTCTTTTGTTTTCATGTAGAGTTTTTACTGCTTGAGAATTTGCTTTTCTATTGAGCATTCTCTGATTTAATTAATTTTTAAGTTGTAAAAGATTAAGATCAAGATTGGAACAAAGGTTATTAATGTCTGAAAATCATAAAAATAAGAAATTTCTTACTATAGAAATATAGGTCAAGTAAAGTGCTCCAATTTCAAGATATGTATCTTATAGGGGTTATAATAGATTAAGAAAACAGCAGATACAGATCTCTACATATACCTCATTGAAATATATTATAAAAGCGTTGAACCTATACAATTAAGCTCGGATATTTTTGAAGAAAAACTTACATAAGGACTTATTTCTATTTTACAATACATCTGACAAGGCAGTTTTTAAATGGTCTTCCTCTTGATTTTATTTGAATGTGTTGCTATTTTCGTTTCAAGAGAGAATAAATTGCCAAACCAATACAAAACTAGAATAAAAGCCAAATAAAAATGATGTAAGCATCACCAGCATTTGCGAGAATATTCTTACCATAATATCTTATAATTAGTTAACCATAGATTACAAATTATCAAAAGCCTTTTAAAAGATATCATATTCTTCATAATTAAAGTTAAATGCAGAAGAGTTTTCATTGAATTATTCATCTCCATACAAAAGCTGATATATTTTCTAGAATAAACCAAGATTAACATTAGCAAATGAAAGCAGTCTGAACAATGCTCTTGTATTAGGGGGTAAGTTAAAGGGAATTAATGGGATTAGATTAATCAATTAAAGAAAATCTAAAAGTCCTAGAATCATATTCAATCCTTTTTAAAAGATAACTTCAACTAATGTAGCAATTGACATTCCAAGAATCATAGTTGTTTATAGTATATCAATATTACTAAGCGAAATAAAATAACTCATCCCCTCTACATCAATTTTTGTCTAAGCATGCTTATTTTGAATATATTTTCCATTAACATCTGTTATTTTCTGATCAAAAATTATTGTAAGGTTGTAATTTATTTTCAAAAGTGATGATGACTAAAGTATTGCTTCATTTTTGTATGAAATTTCAAAATCTAAATAATCCACTGCAGTCATATTTTTTGAAATCAATGACCATTAGAGTTGAAGGTCAAATTTATCATTCACAATTGCTAATATTTTGAAATCTTGTTATTAATCCTGACTCTCTAAATTATTAATTTTATAATTTACAGAAATAAAAAAGCTTCTAATTAAAGCTTAGTCTTAGAATCTTCAAATCTTTAGTTATTGTAATATTTTTTATTCTTGGTAGCAAGAAACATTTGTCAGCTGATGAATTCGTACCTCCAAAGCAATAGTACCCATCCTCTACAGTGCAATTATTAGTGCAACTATAATTGATAAAAATGTACAATATTTTACCCATCTAAATTCTTAATGTTACCATCATCACATTAAAAATCAAAGTAATTTTTAGAATCTCCACATATTTCAATGCATTATCCTTTACTCAGATAGAAACCTTCAAAACAGCTTAGGCATTCATGAGAAAAACCCCCTTTGCAAGTTTTACATCTTTAATGGCAAGGGGAGCAACCTGTTAATGGTGTAAGATATGAACCATCAGCACATTCAGAGCAGAATTATACACCGACTGAATCATCACAAGTTTTACAGTATCTCATTGGAATACATGGATTACATTCTTAATAAGTCGTGGAAGGTGATTCGTTTAGTTCACAATTTGGGAAACATTCACCTCCATTATATTCTGTTGAACATAATTCACAACCAGATTACTTACTTTATGCTTTACAATCAAGATTAGTTTTATATTATGTTTTGAAATGGTACTCCAACTTAGGCCAGTTTAAGATTGCAATAGTTCTAATGATTCCTCTAAAATTTTCACCTATCCTCATCTTATAAAGTTTACTACTATCATGATAAACATTTGTGAATTTAGTTGAGCAATCTAGGATTATAGGGGGGAAATTGAGGCACATCTTGACTTAGTCTTTCCTTAAATTCATTATCGATACCCCTATAAAGCTCCATCTACCTATTACTTATGATTTCTAACTTAAGTGTGTTTTGAATGTCTTTTACTATCCTAACATTCTAACTTGAAGATCATTATTTTTATTGAGAAAAGATATTCTAAAGTAATCAGAGCTACTTGATTAAGACTATATCTACTTAAAGTCTAGTAAATTATAAGGCTGTACTGAGTCAGCAAAAGGGAATATCTCAGTAAACTTGAACCAAATTTCAATCGTAAAACTTAATGGCAGAGTAAGATATTCTTTTGATGCTACAAGAGATGAACCATTGAAAAGGAATCCCTGAAATCCTATTTTTTTCGGATATTGAGTATCATTTTTGCCATCCTCACCCAAAATTAAATCATACTTTTCATAAAGCATTCTTGACCTCTTACTTGCAGCATGATTATTAATTCCTATTTTAAGTGACTATGTAAAGTTGATATTCATGTATTCTTAACCAGCGTATTAGTCAAGGCATGTTCCATCCAAATCACTTGGAAAGGTTTATGGGAGAGCTCTCATTTCATTTATTCTACATTGAGAGCATGCTCCTTTGCAATTTTTTGTAAAATACGTAAGTAATTCTTCATTTATTAGAGTCAAATCGTTTTCAAGTTAAATAAACCTCATAATTCCAGCAAAAGGAGCTGAAAAATCTAATCTGTTTCCGTAAATGTTGTAATTACTTTCTGAATCATCTTATCTATAAGCAACTTAAACTTTTTTATTTTCTAAGTATTCTCCTCTCTCATTATAACTATGAGCCCACATATTCTAATAATCTTATGTATTTGACATAACTAATATCCAATTCCAGCCACCTAATAGAAATAAGCTCAAAATAGATAAATTACTTTTGATACTTGGTAAAAGTGTGTAAATTTCATTAGAATTTTGCAAGAACATTAATTTACCATCCTCAATGTAAACACTTTACCAAAGTTAGTCATTCTATACTTCATTAATATTTTTAAATTACTGGATTGTATCTGTTAATGATTGATTATTTATTTTTCTCATCAAATAAGTAGAATTCAAACATATAACTCCATACTCTGTCTAATCTAAATATTTTATAAGGTCCCGAGAACAGACCCTAATTAGTCCCAGAAAATTCTAATCCATAATTGCTAATTTTAGTCGAAGTAAGTTAACCTTTGCCTCCCATAAATAAGCAAGGTATATAATTGGGTGATTGAAAATATTGAGCAGGCACACAGTCTATATTTGTTTCTCTATCTACAGCTGTTTGTGTTAAGTTATACAGAATTTCGTGAGGATTGTTATTTGCATTAAAAGGCATATTTACCTGAGTACTTCTCTAAGGATAAAACAGTTGATCCCTAGTCAAGCAATTTCCCGCAATACTGCATTGGAAATTTGGGTTAGTCTATGAACTTTAGGCTATTCCATGAACATAAAAATCATTGAAACCTTATTCAAAAATTTCGTTAAAATAGTACTGTGATGATTAGATGGTATAATAACTGGCATTATTGATTCTGACCTGAAATTAACCATCATAGAAGTCGCAAATAATCTAAATTTACTGCTGCCTTTGCTTATTTAATATTTTAGAATGCAATTTTATCTCTGAGAATGTGCCACTACTACTTAATCCGAAATCTGTCCTAGTTAAATGATTCGAGCATAAGGATGCCTTGTTATCAGATAAACTCAAGAGATCAATAGTTGATGATTGTTTACTTACTACTGTTCCACTTGATAACTTAATTTGAACAAGAGCTCCTCCAACTATAAGAAATGTTAATAAAACTTAAAATATTTTATTTCGTCCTTACTCATGTACATTTAAAAGTCTAAAGAAGTTGTCATTATAACAAATTCAGTAGTTTTGACATAAGTGAAATAACTGCCCTATTCAAAAGTTGTTTTTGGACGTACTAGATAGTAGCTATGTATTGAAGTAATACCACTTGACTACTTTTCACAATCGAACCATTCATTAATTGAGCATTACCCAAACTAGTTAACAAAGCTCAAAATAGGAGGTATTGTAATAATAATAGTAGATCCTTTTGGTTGTTTAAGTGACATATCAAATGAGTAGAACATACTTTCATCTTTATGGAAATTTATGCCATCATACAGAGCTCTATCTGGACTTACCCATTGCACATTTATCAGAGATTACAATTTTCCCTCTAAATATTGAAGTAATGATAACAAAAATTATTACAAAAAAGAGTTGGAAGATTACTAAGGGTCCGTGTTACTACATTTGAATACCCATTTACTGTCTAGATAACACCTGATATGGTTACCTCAAAAAGTTTATTCTAATTTAAGGGCAATCCTATTAAGTTTAGTTGGATATAAGAATCATTTGCAGTAGTAAGTCCTTAATATAATTTCCCATCGTATCCTTTAATGCAGTAGAAAAAATTAGAGTATCCATCCATTTATTTTTACAAGCTTCTTATTTCCCATGTAAATATCAGATCTGCATAATCACAATTATCACTAGAGTAGTACATTGGATTTATTCTAGCATCATCCCCGTACTCAAAAATCTTTTTAAATCCTTAAGTACTAGCAAGATTTTGTAAATTGCATGCTGTCTAGACTACAGCAGTTGAGCCTCAAGTAATGCAAGCTTAAATCCTGCATATTTACATTGAAATCATTGCAAAACATAGGACTAACTGAACCTTATTAATTCTTAGTCCTAAAGTGGATTTCTACTTTAACATGTTAATTAAGTTTTTCTATTTATTATAATCTAGCCAATCTTACTCATTTTATAATTTGATTCAATTTACTCTTTATACAATAGCTCAATGGGGTTTTGGGGTTTTGGGGTTTTGGGG